CAAGATTGCTTTGAAGGAGGAACACAAAGTAGACTAAAGCCCTCTTAGAAACAAACGCTTCATTTGTTTCTTATTGTCTTTCGCGAAATTGCGGAATCAAGTATATCGTTTCGGAGTGGATTTTGCGAGGGGCGCAACTCATAACGAAAGATAAAAACGATGTCGGCGGTCCGGCACATTCCCCTCATACTTATTTGCTATACGTACGTCTGCGTGTGCATCCAATATGCAGTAGCAAATTTCAGAGGGGTTAGCGATACCGTGTTTGTATGCCAACATTGGCAACCCGATGAACGCAGCGTTCATCCAATTCGCATCGATGTGCACTGTTGATTTAAGCATCACGCGTCTCGCCACCGATAAACGAATCCTGAAATTTCGTTTGGGTACGGCCCAGGAACGCCATTTATCCTTCGGCATTTATCCTGTCCGCACAACCGTTAGGAGAAATGGTAACGTAGTAAACAAACGCAAAAATTTGCACGAGAGTCTATATAAAATAAGAGACTTAATGTTTGGAAAAACGACTTTGGACAAAAATTAATAAAAAAAAAAAAAAAAAGGATTTTGAAGTGAAAGAAATTGATTTAGATAGTCATCTTTGTAATATAATTATAAAAATAATAAAAAGATAAATTGTAATAACAGTTGGGAAAAAAATTAAGGGAGAACTTTTACCCCTTTGTCACCTCTCAAGGGAAAATCTTTTACCCCTTTCTGCCACAAGGAATAAAATATTAAGCTGCGAGTCAAACTCATATCCCGTTCTATCCCGATATCTCTTATCTTGGTTTTCCTTAAGCTTATTCCATAATATCCTGTAGTACATATTTGATAGCATAGTTCTCGCGAATAATAATATACAGTATAAATATGTTAAATTAGTAGCACTCGCACATATGCACTCGTAATGTTTTAAACAAATTGCACACGAAGATAATATAATAAAATAGTATTTTCATGGATTTTGCTGCAACGTAATTACGAGATTTTCTCTGCTCTCCAGTAAATCGAAAATTTTCGCAAATACGCGATATGTGGTACACCAGCAGGCTTTAAACGGAGAAATAAATTGCGTAATTTCCAACTACGCAATAATTGGAATCAAAGAACCTGAAAAATGCAGGCGTTGTTACGATACCGAGTAGATGTTTGTAAAATGCGCGTTTGTATAATGTTGCGTTATTGAAATAATTAAAACAGTTAATTGTGCGTCGCAAAAAATTTATGCGATAAACAAGTAAATAGTTGCCAAGTAGCGTTTATATTGCGGATTTGATAAACGTATGTATGAGCTATCTGTCAGATAGTTACGGATTGACGCTTTTTGACTTCTCGGGTAATCCACGAGTCTCGAGAGGAAAATTCTAAATACCAACGTTGACGGTAACATGGAAATGAAAACCAGGTGATAACAGAGAAAAGACATCGGAAAGGTCGGCGCGGGTATCGATCTTTGTAACACCCGATATTTTCCTCACAGAGGAATCATCTTTCATGAGAATGTAATAGATGAAGAAAAAAAATTTTGAAAAGCCGTGGAGTATCTGGAACATTCTGCGAGACGGAGAAGCGTAATTGCTTCCTGCTTGGAGATAATGATCCTACTTCAAAGAGTAGTAAGAATAAGTCACGACAAATTTCATCCTTAGAGAATGCGGTATAGATACGATCTGAAGGATACTGCAGAATTCGTCATACAGGATGTCGTTTGGCAGGGGTTGCCGCTATATCTGTCCCATTTTAGCGGGAAAAGATTCATGTTGTAGACATATGAATGTGAAAAATATGGATAACAGACAATCAATTCAAAACTTTTCGTATGCACTGAGAGAAAAGTTTTTGATATTTGCGATTATAATTGATACTTGTGAAATATATTACATGTAATTATGATTGTTACTACTATGTTATATAGTTGTTCCAAAAAACGATATTATAAATTACATATAATTAAATTGTAATAATTGCGACCATTTTTATGGTAAGAACAACTATAAGTCTTCATTAATCATTTGTATTTATTTTCGGTGCCAACTACATATTTTTGTTGATAGAACTGCACGTATAATTATTATTGTTAACATTATAGCAATAATAATCATAACATAATAATAATCATAATAATTGTAACATGTAATTATGACAATAAATATCATAAATTTTTCTTTCAGTGAATTATTGGATCTTACAATATTTTTTGCTCTATAATAACGAAACACCTATATAATTTAATTATAACAAAGTATACTTCTTAAGGGAGTTTTTTTTTTTTAAGGAAAGCGAGCCGTATTTTAAATGCCAACTTTGCAATTTAATCTGCCTATAATTCGTCGATCGATCAAATAAAGAAGATGGCTAGGGCATCGTATGAAATATTTTACGAGCCAATTTGGCGCCACATAGTTCGTACGCGAAGCAGGATGCTTTTGCAAAAAAGTCCGGGAGGAGTGAGCTTAACGAAATTGCGGATCCATTCGTCGTGCTAGCAGTGAGAATTCGATTACCCGGTGCGCGTTTCTTACGGACTTTCTTACGGAACGGAGATTTGGAATTGATTTACAACACCGATACAAGGCAGATCGAATAAAACAACATGGTAGGTGGATCGGTCAGGCTCAATCGTTATCACAACGAAATAAACTTGCAACTGCGTTACGTGACTCAAACTTTCCTTTCCATTATCTCATATTTTCAATCATTTCAATACATCTCTGCAATCACAGTGAGCACATCTGTCTCTCTCTTGAGAAAAGAAAAATTTCTCTTCTAAGAGATTTTATTCGGAGCCATTAATTTATTGCCGCTTAAATTAGTTGTGATAACAGACACACATTTTTGACGCCACCTATAATAGCTGCTTTTTGAAATTCCATTGCGACACAGATCGTGTACGGTTTTGTCCTTTCCGCCGTGCAGACAACCGCGGAAGGATTAATCCGGTTAGCTCGCGCGAGCCATGCTCGACTGTGACTGATGAATGAAATCCGGGGGATGGAGATCCGGGGTGGTCGACCTTATTCTGCGTCAGCCCCGTCCTCCATGCAGCATTCGCGAATCCACTTGCGATCATCCCCTCGTGCATCCCCTCTTTTCCTCGTTTCCGCGACCTCTCGACTATTCCTCCGTCCCCTCGCCCCGTAGTCCCTCCCGTAGCCATCTTCACCGAGAGGTATGTATATCCACACAGTCTACCGCGCCACTGACGTAACCCTTCTGACGTCACATGGAGCTAACACGGCGCGCGCTACCCCTGCATCCTCCGCAACGAGGACAACGCTCCCTCTCGTAGAAGAGGCTCCTCGCCTTTTTTTCTCTCTTCACTTCTGCCCTCTTACTGATGAACATATCAATGTTTATCAATGAACGTTTATGCTAAGAGGCAATAACGATTAACAGAGACGTTTACCGCAGCCCTTTCGCGTCACCGATCGAGCGACAATTTGATATTTAATTCAAGAACACGATTAAACCATGACCTGTGCACGAAGATAGTATAAATTCACATGTATTCCACACATTAATTATTACAATCAAGGTCGCGTCACGATGATATATCGTAAAATGGTAGATAATAAATTTTATTTCTATATCTTTCGATATTCATCGAGAGAAGATACAAGCGTACATCCTTGATTATTTACGAGGAGAATTTAACCTTCATCCGTAATCATCTCATAATGTTGTTCAAAGTTTTTGACAAGATAATTTCTCAGTTGCCGTCGTATTAAAATGATATTATGATAATCGCGTTCATACTTTATAACTCGAGATGCGAACGAGCTCAGAATTCAAACTCGACGTAAAACGATTTTCATCGCGTAAGACTTTGCGATTAGCCGAGCTGTTTAATTTTACAGATGTATTTCCGCCCTCCGAAATCTCCAGCGGCGCATTATTCCACGTAACGATGGAAAAATAGGAGAAGGAAAAGATCGATCGGCTGCTCTCTCTGGATGCCATCCCTTCTCCTCCCGCGCGTCTCCTTTGTATTTCTTTTACGCTCCATAAATTCGCAGTAGCCGAAATCGGTACTTCGTTATCGCGATCTCGTTTCAGTTACTGAACACATACCGTTGTAACTTTGTTGCGCAGAAAAAAAAAATACCTAACAACTGGGTTAGCCAAACTTTTCTTCCTCTCCTTCTCATACAAATCTCGAGTTTAAACACTGAAACTTTTACACGGATTCGGGGCGTTGACTAATCGTACCGCGCAGATATTAAATTCCTCCGGAAAAATTACGACGAGCGTCGAAGTGATCGTCGATTTTGGCATCTGGCAACGTTCGCGATATAAAAAGATACAACAAAAATTCGGACAAATTGTATAATTCAATAATACAGATTATTGTGTCGAACAATTTGAAATTTCTTCTTGTAATTTTGCCCGTAAATATATTGAAATATTTACCCACAAAATTTTATTAAATCTTAATATATATTTCTTTGAATAGTACTAACTTTGGTAAGTAAACATTCATTTACAGTAAATAAATATTTATTGAATAAAAAAAAAATGATAAATCACAAATGAATGATTTTTGTATCAAATAAATATATGTTTATATTTGCTTGAATGTTTACTTAGAATTATTCAAAGTAATAATTATTAAAATTTAATTTTTTCTCCAGTGTACGTACTTGAACGTATTGCGTACAATTCAGCTTTATAGCCGTACTGATAAGTTCACGGCTTCAATTTAACGTTATCTCTGAATACCACACTTAACTCCCAGACCGAAGTTCAGATTAAGTTTCACTTTCCCAGTCTTCATCATCCACGAGCTTACCCTCTATCTTCTTTATCCCCTTTTGCCTTCTTGCCATCCTTCGATATTCTATCTCCTCCGATTCAATATTCATCGGCTTTCATCAATTCATTCGGTAATTTCACCGTTAAATTGGCCGAGTGTGTATACCTTTCCGCTGCTCTTCACGCCATATTTTACCGTATATAAATTTATTAAGTCTCGTTTTCTTTCCCTTTTTTTTTTGCAGGTGAGGAAACTGTGGATTGGTGTAATAAAACCTCGGCCCCAGGTGTGGCCCGGGGGTTACCCTGGGGACCTTGGAGAAGCGATCGTGCCAAGACGAAGTGGCTGAGAACGACGAAGGACACGGGAGGCGGAGGAGGAGGCCGCTATGAACGCCAGCGTTAACGTCGAAAGGAACTCCTGGCGGCTGCCTCCCGATGAGACCGTCCAGGTCGCCGATCCCCGTTCAAAATCAGCCCAGGTAAAAGAGGTAAATCGCTCAGCCGGCTCACCAAGTGGTCCCTATCCTAATCTTCGAGTACTTCTTGTGGATTGTACGATCAGGTTTAAATGCATGTAGATGTACGGTCGATGGATGGAAGTTGATACTGACTATTAATTCGCTAGTACTGATTATTAATTCGCGAACGATTACAAAAAAATCAAGCTCACGGTCGAGACGCGAGTTAATAATCTATACTGCGCAATAATTCACGGTTTTTAGATTGAAAAGCGTAGAGAAATAAACAAGATCGATGTGATTTATTGTACTGGATTGTTTATATAGCCGCACACAATGGCAAATCTATGAATGCATAGAATCAATCTTTCTTTCATACATAATCCTTCAAGTAGTTGAACTAGATGAGATAGTTCCATCTACACGTCATCTCATCTCTAAAAAATGTATTTAATATAAAAGTACAATATAAATATTAAAATGTGGAAATAAATATTACTATTTTCCGTCTAATAACTTCCCTATGAAAATTTCAGAATAATGTCCCATATAAAGTGATGGGCTTGAGACAAATCGAAAACTTTGAAAATACATATATTAAAAAATCTCGAAACATTTGAAATTATTATTCGAAATAAAAAACTTTTAAATCTTATATTTTTTAAAAATATATTTTTTCAAAATTATTTAACTTATATTATTATCTTAATTATTATATTATAATTTGATGACGTTTTATATATCGTTATAGATAACAATTTTGTCTTTAAGAATAAGTGTTTGAAATATTTATAAACGCTTTTAAGGGAAGATTTTCCAGATAATTCAAAACTTTCCAGAGTTTCGAGATATTCAAAACTTTCAATGTTTTCAAGAACTTTCAATTTTAAATGATACTCGAAGCAATTCAAATCTTCATACGACTGAATTATTTCTAGATTTTCGGAAAAAGAAATTCATACGCCTGTCATTAGACTTTTAATTGATGTTAAAATGTCATGATTGTATGTGTTGCATTTTGCCTATCATAGACGGTAATGTTCGATTTGAGTACCGGATCGTACGACGGTTAAGCCCCTCACAGGCGCACGTGCTCGCAAAGTGGTAGAATTACTTGCGTTAAGTGCCGATAGCAGTATTAGTGACCACTCGGAGTAATACATTCAAATAGCGTAGTTACGCCGCGTATAAACTACGAGTACTATAACTCGGTAATCGGAGTATCGTTTCCAGAGCGGTAGTTAGCACAGCAGACTATCACGAGTAGACATTAGATATTCATGTTGCACGATTTTTGTAAATATTCAGTTCTCTCGCAAAAGACCAGGCCTTTCCACAGAACACCACCTTCTGATAGAAAATTCGTTGAAATCTCGATAGCTCCAAACTGTTTGTTTACTTAGCCTTTCTGCGTGAAAGGGCTAAATTTACAATTATCCTGCGACATTCCTAATAACGTTCAGTCATTGATTAATATCTCAACTTTAATTGGATGACCACTTTGACAAAGGTAGCAATTAGGCAGCAATAATTACTGCTTGTTCAGCGACGGAATACAAAACCTCTCGACGGGATGTTTAAAATAAACGCCTTAACGTCTCGTTAACTCGACATCAACGTTCTCTCGAGCGCGTGTGAAAACAGGCTATGCAATAACGCGTGTAAATACATATAAACTCAGATATGTTACGGAATAGCGATAATTAATTGTGGCTATCAATCGAGCCATTGCGAGGAAAATGATAATAAAGTCACATATTCCATACGTGACAAAAGTATTCAGTTTTTACAAAGCAGTTTTTACAAACACACGCTTATTTTTTTTAGGCACGCCACCTTGTTACGTAAAATTGTTTCTTTATCTACCAGACGGCTCTTTCGTTCTGGTTTATGAGTACTTGCAAGTCCACGGAAGTGTTACTAAAGTTTCCCGCCGGTTTCCGCCTGTCGTTTATTCCCACCTCCGTCTCCGCGCTTGCACGAGAAGTAGTTTAATTATATTTAAATGAACCGACCGTCCAGAACAAAGGCTACGATCCGACGACATCCTTATTTTTGCGAAAATCATCGCGCTCGTTGAAAGTAAAATATAATCGCTTTTATTACACCAGTCGCGTGGATTCTCTCAATTATATCGAAATCACTTCTGCGTTTTATTCGTGTTACGTGAAAAACATTGAAAGGTTAACCGTTTAGCTCGCATCATTCCTAATTAACCTAATGTTCTCGATCGAGTGAATCCATATAAAAGAGCCGTGTTTTACACAATAAACGCACGTTAACGACCGCCCCTTATCACACCCAATCCATTAGCAGAACTATCAGTGAGATTCCACGAACCGTGCCTGCTTGTCCTTTGCTCACCTTTGACTTTTACTAGCTTCTGACTGTGCAAGTCGATTGAAGGAACAAACCATCACGAGTATCCGTCAACTGACCCGATTCGCTCTTTGACCGAGAATTCGAATCAACAAGCCTTCATCGAGAGTCATAAATAATTCATATAACTTAAACACCTAAAGGATTCTCGTAAAGGATTCAGAATTGTGGTGAAATTAAACTGTCCACAATACAAAAGCTTTATAATTGATAAATTAACGGAAAATTCATCAATGTCGTAGCTAATGGCGTAACTTCAGCTAGTCCAGACTTTTCGACAATTTTTTAATAATAGCATGTCCACGTGTCTTTGGCTGATCGATCAGTCCACTCGTTACTCTTATTCGTATGCAATTTTCGTGTGTGCCGTGTCCAGTCGATATCTACGAGCGTAAACAAATTTATCACCCGTCGCGTTGACGGGCAGAGAGAATGGGAAGAGAGGACC